AGAGGGACGAAATAAATGTTAAAACTGATTTGCAGACCCTCTATAATCTCTCATTCACAAACCAACAAACACAATGAACAGGTAGGGTAACTTCATAGCATCAATGGCTCAGCAGCAATAACACAACATCAATGAAAACAGAGCACGAGTACACCGAGGCCTCCATAAGTCAACGACACAGGAGGGGGTAAAATGCCATCAGATAGGAAGACAATTTGTTTATGGGACTCACGTTTTTGCAGCTGAAGTCCATTCTCCTCCCTGTAACAGCTGCGTCAGCCCGTTCACTGGAAAACAAGGTAACACGCCCGATATTTGCATGTATACGGCGTGACTTCACCTGTCATTCCCTCTCTCGGGAGACGTGATATGAGAATGCCATTCATTGACCACAAATCGTTCAATGACATGTAATAGCCATTGCACGCGAGAGGGGCGCTTGTTTCACCCACTTGTTAAAACAAATAAATAAACGTATGCAAAGTTAAATGTCTTTGGTAAAGTAGTTACCAATATAATTTGATGACCTTTTTTTTTCAGTTCAAGCACAACCATGAATACATTTGTTTTTGTTTTTTAATATTGACATTTGAATTAATTGTTGTTACAGTTCAATCTGTGCTTTATAAGATAATGTGACAACATGAACCATATTTGTTGCAGACAAGGTCTTCAGAAAAATCATGGTGCAGGGCCTGTCTGACAGAATATAATTTTGACCCATCTTCACTCGCTGCTAATTTATAGAAAAAAAGGGGAAAGGTTCAAATATGTATAAATTGTGGCGACATCAACACTGCACAGAACAACATTAATATAAAGGCCAATGCATTTCAGCATCTAGCAGCATTATAAAAATACACTAAAGACCAAACCACGAGTTTGGCGGTTTGTACATTTTATTTAGTTTTTTGGTGTACTGTTTTTGTTTTTCCCCCTGTGCTGCTTGTGTGATTTCTCACCCTGTGTTTCAGAGGCTGGGTGTGGCATCCTGGTCCTGGAGCTCCTGGTCCACACACCTCCTCCTCATATCACCCTCATCATTGTTTCTGCTCTTAATGTGGTATAGTTGGCTCAACTCCAGTGATTTAATCTTACAAACTTTTCTTGATTTTTCCTAGGACTAATTTTCTTTTGTGTTGTTGTTGTTGTTGTTGTTGTTGTTGTTGTTGTTGTTGTTGTTTTGCTTCCAGTCCCTACCAACTCAGAGCTCCAGTGGCTCAGCCACACCACCCAGCCTCTCTCACCTGAGCCATACAGTATGTCTCACTGCGCAGCCTTCCCTTCCAACGCCACAGCTTCCAACCCCACAGCTTTCCCCATCTGCCCCCTCAGTGCCACCAGCCACAGCCAACCCTCTGCGACTCGGCCAGCGTCTCACTGCAAGCCGTTCCCTATCAGCCCTCAGTTAAAACAGTCTTCAGGGCAATTCATCATTATTTTTGTAATAAATCTCCTTCTGCCCTTTAACCCTGTCTGCTGGTATTGCTATTGGGTTCTGTTAAAAACAACTGATTCAGAAGCTGTTACAGTCAAGCTACATTGGTCTGTCTAAATTTTCAACATGACTCTGTGACAGTATCATTTCTTTATAGTCAACAGTTCTATTAAATGGCTATTGAACAATTCTTTGGCATTTTTACAGACAATTTTCAGGAGGCTAAAACGTTTTCACCTCAAAGAAATAAATAGCAGCACAGCAGGCACAACCTCGTGCATTTTCCACTTCATTTGTAAAGAAATGGACACGTTGGTAACATTGTTTCAAGAGGATGCTGACTGACCACAGCCTGATGCGATGCATGTCATTAGAGATGATGATTTTTTTCCCATTTCTAAAAAAAGCATGATGTCCTGTACTGCTTTTTTTCCATAAGAATGCTTTTACCGCTTTATGGTGGGCAGTCTGCCACAGGGCGATGGAGGGACTTATTATCAAATGGAAACGTTATCATGCATATCTAATTTCATACTTATTTCTGGTATTTCTTGGCCACAAAGCTTTATCTTAATTAACTTTCCATGTAAATGCCTCCCCATCATCATAACACTGCTGGGCATCCAAGCAGAAGCTCACAAAAATGTTTTTAAAGCCCAGACAAAATTAGGAAGTGCTCTCAAATAATCAATATTGCCCATAGGTAATTACTTCATTTTTTTAACCATGCAGTCCATGCATGCTTTATCAGAATGCATTTGTAATACCCCCCTCCTCCTGAAAAAAAGAAAAGAGAGATAGCTCTTATTCATAAACAAATCATTTACGGCATCATGAATGTAGCTGATCAAGAGGAGAGTTAATGCATTGTATGGTTCCAGTCATGCTTTGACATCAATTTAAGTTGGAAACAATTCAGAATCATCAGGCATTCTAAACCAGACAGTGATTAAAACTGATTGGCTCTGTACAGGCCTGGCTCATCTCGAACAAGTCCACATGCCACCAGTAGATTTTAATAGTTCCACCTCTTTGATTGAAGGAGTGCTAATCAGTGAAATCAGATGCTGTTGTCTTGTCGCTCTCCATTACACAGTCGCCTATCCTAATGGGAGTGGGGTGTCATCATCAAAGGTACACTGCTGACAAATGTTTATTTTAATTAAAGATTTATTTATGGACTTTTTTATGCGTTTTATTACAGGGACAGGACAGGGGATAGAGTCTGTAATCAGGGAGAGAGAGAGAGAGAGAGAGAGAGCAGGGAATGAAATTTGGCAAAGGAGCGACGGGTCAGATTTGAACCCAGGCGGCCCGCTTTGAGGACTATAGCTTCTGTACTTTGGGCAACCTTTTTTGCTTGGAGCCCCCTACTTTTATCTAAGAAAAGATGGGATCCCAGAGGACCCAATTGTGGGAAAAAAGGTGCGTGTCTGGCAGAAATTTAAATAAATCTTTAAAGTCTTCATTCATAAAATCCCAAGAGAAGAGGTCTACAATTACTTAATCTTACCAAAATATTGTTGAATAAAGTATCCAGTAATGTCCTATCATGACTTTAGTTGGTATGTGCAATTTTAATTTTGACAACCTCAGAGCAGACAAAGCCTTGCAACCCGCCCCCCCCAAAAAAAAAAAATGCTCCACCCAGTTACATCAAGTTAGACACAATTCATATCAACTTGTCCTAATAACTAGAATAACAGCTTTTTATAATAAACCTTGCATAATGTACAAAGAGCAACTTAAGTTGGCATTACACTGTAAAAGAAAAAAGGAAAGAGCATTATAAGCCAAAGAAGCAAGCCATCATGTTTTGGTTATGGGTCTTTATTGGCCTCCATGTTGAAACAATGACAATATCAAAAAGGAAAAAAAAAGAAGAAAAAATTACCTTCAGGGCTCATATCTAATGTATCTCTTCTACTTGTATCAAATTAAACAGCAGCCCAGGTACGCCTCTCAATAAAAACTCAACTCTTCATACATCATGTTTTTTTTTCTCCTGCTGGCTTAACTATTGCTGTATTATTGGCTCAATTAGAGAGGAATGGATTAAAGAAAATGGGTTATTAATCTCAAAATTAAAACTAACTTGCAACAGGTTCAAATTATTTTGATGTATTCATCTGATTTGGTTCTAAGGTAGTATTTGCTTTAATCAAGTATTATTTCTTGTCAGGGTTTAAGAAAGGACATCTTTAGTGTTAACAAATGAATCCATCCCTTTTAAATTTAAAAGCAGCCTTTTTTTTGTTTCCTCCAGGACAGCTTTGTCAATACATATCCAGATTCAATTAAGACACAAAGATCATCTCTCGTGTCAACTATAATTGAATACGATTTTTTTATTTAATTATTTATATGTTTTTGACCAAATGCAATGCAAAGAACACATTTAATGCCCAGTCTACTTCCTTTTCGCAACACTTTTGCTTTTTTCTGCTTTTTATGTTACAATTCTAATTCCAAGATGGTATCATATATATGAACACATTCCTTCATTAGATTGTTTGCTTGAAAGTATGAGGCATCTATTCAATGTTTACAAAGGAAAACAGTCTCTGAGAGGTAGGTGGAAAAACAAACTAAGCCCATGTGTCAAAAAACTGTATTTGAATGTTTGAAAAGCTGCAAAGATACCTGCAGACAAAGAAACCATTATACCAAACAACAATTTGTCATGAGAACAAATTACAGGAGTGGTTTAGTTAGCAATATTTGAATTGAAAAGCTCCCGCAATGGCTACATCGCATACATATGTCATTGTCTGGTATAAAGTAAAAGCCGAAATGCCCACAATACCTATACTTAGAAAATAGCCTCGTCTTTTTTCATTGAGAGTCATACAGTTTTTTAAAACCATACAATAGGTACAGTCTGTGTCACAGTTCTAGCATGTAAAAGTTTGTCATCTGAGAGCTTTGCTACACTTCCCTTGACGCTTCTAATCTTAGCCAGCCTGTAACTGCACTAGAGTAGGTGAGATATAGTGTGTATTAGTCCAGAACATGAAGTAAAGATGCCATCATCAGTCAAACATCTATTGCTTTGGTTGTGGCTGTGACTCCATTTGGAGTCAGCTCAGGTTTTTTTCATTTTTGCCAATCCAAGTACTGTTTATCCATTCAATTCTCTCTTGTTCAGTTTCACACCTGATGATTCAGACTTTTTGATTCCATGTGCAATTTTTTTTTATCATGTATCTTGTTGAATGATTAAAAATAGAGATGTTTATGAGTGTACTCCCTCAGATCCTGACTTTGTGTTCTAGCCAACATCCTTACAATTGATTTGTCAGCCTCAAGATAATTTAAATGCGTTGCATGATGAATTCTCTCCATTTTAAACCACATTATGGAGGTCAACTGAGTCCTACCCTGTACAAAGACAAAAACTCATTGAATACTTGAAAGAAAGACAGGAACACCTTTAGAAAAAGAACCAATAAGATCACTTTCACATTGTGGTGGTAGATAGTATTGTGTACCTTATTTGCACTGTAAAATGTACAAAATATCCCCATATTGTTGGCTAGTGACCTGCAATCTTATTCACAAGCACTTTGAAGCATGTTTATTTATCTACAACATACAGTGTACTCTGAAACAGTAACACATTTATAAATAAATATTGCAATCTTAACAATCTTACAGTTCTCCATAGTTATCGTCGGTTCTTCTTGACTCGTCACCTGAGCTTAACGAAGGTGAGGCAACCTCTGCCTGTTCTGTCTCCTTGCTTTTACTAGTACTCACATGTGCTATCATTTCCCAGTAGGTTCATTATTCTCTTTCTGCCCTTGGCCCTTCTTTCCTTCCTCACCCCCTGTAATGTTAACTTAAATAAATAGAACACTAGGATAAACAAAAAGAATCACATATCCTTAAAATCTTATAAATCTCTGAAATAATAAGCTACCATTAATATCTTTCCAAATTAGGAAAAAACGTAATTAGGAAAAGGATAAAACATTCTATTTATCAAAAAGGACAAACCAAAGGATAACAAAATATACAATTATGTTCAGCATGAAAAAAAAACATGTCTCATAAACCAATATCTAGTCAAGAGATAATCAAGAGTGTCACTCCATTTTTGATGTATTTTGATGTCATTCATTATATCCTGTTTGCTCCATGTAGATTCTCTGGACATTCTTGCTTCCTATGTAGTTTCTGTTTTAATTATGCTCACTATTAAGTGTTCAGTTGGACTTTGCAAAGCCCAAGCAGTCTCCTTTAATATGAGACACCTCAGTCCATCCTGCTTTTTAGTCTACAGTCAGTAATTCACAGTTTTTCACTGTGTACTTTAGTTCAAAAGTTCCTACTGCCATCCAATCACAGTTGAGAAGAGGGGCCAGGGGATGACGGGATTGGTTCTGAAACAGAGAGAGAGCCATCATTGGCTGGAAGGTATCAGGAAACAGCAGGTATGGCCAATGTCCTTTCCTGTTGGTAATTGTGCAAGTTTAAATGCCTCTGTCCTGGATCCAAGGGAGAAAAGTCTTTTTTTACGACGTATTTACTTCCAATTCTTCTCACATTCTGACATACGAGGAAAGATCAAGATCGCAAATAATCAGTGATGAATGGCAAAATCCCAATAGTGCCTGAATTCATAGTTGATTACGTAGATTTTTTTTACATTTTACTTATGAACAGTGCCAAAGACTAATGGGTCACATGATCGAACAAAAACAATCAACTTCATTATAAACCGTCAGATGAGTTCACCTATAAATGACAGATTTATATATTAAAAGTACATAGAGCTATCAATGATCAATAAATAGCCACAATTGTAATGGCAATATAGTAAAACATGAGTAAAATATATCTCAAATGATGTTCTTGGCATCCTCATTTAAATGAACAGTGACTAAATAATGTGTCTCCAAATAACACACCCTGAATTTACTGTATTGCAAAATTGTTCACCAATAGTTTGAATTAAACATTCATAACCAAGTAACTTAATTGTTTTTTACAATAATATTTTCACATTAAATAATACAAAATAAAGTCAAATAGTTTTTTATTGTTTGCTACCATTGATTTCTGTGTGAGCTAGTAATGACAGTATGCTCCTGGAGCTAAAAGGGAGCTAAACTTGAGCATCCCTAGCACTACCTGCTCAAACTCTGCCACACTTTGTGTTCCATTCACTGTCCTGTCATTCCTCTCATTCTCCCTCCCTTCATCCATTGCAAAGGCATTACAGGTGAATTGTATTCATTGTCCGACCATCCCCTCCTGCCCTTATCCTCTGCCACTCCATTTCTCAGTCTCTTTTCCATCAGTTACAGATTGTCTTGTAGCCTCTCCATGTAGGTTCTGATTTCAGACTGACCTAGGTCCATATCCTGGCACACCCACTTGATGTCATCTTCGCTCCCATTGGTCACAAGGACTGAAGAGTTGGTGTACGGGCCACCCCCACCCAAATTATCATTGGGCAAAACAGTGGCGAAAGACGTGAACTGGACACGTTTGCGTTTGGCGGCTGCAACCGCAGCTGCAGCCTTTGCTCGGGGGGAATTATTCAGATGCTCTGCTTGACCAGTGGCGTTTTTGCCACCAGAAGTGATTGCTGAAAGGCACTGATGCGGTTCTTGGACAGATCTGGGCAAGGTTTGTCCATGTGTGATGCCACGGTGTCCACCTGTACCTCCACCCCCACTTATGGTGCCCATTCCTGTACCCATCATCAACGTGTTACCAGCCCCATTCAGCAGGTACTTGTTCTCTTCGTATCCACCGTCATTCCGGTCAATTATGGTGGTGCACTCATCAGGCAGTCCGCCTTGGCATTGGTCAGAATGGTCTGCTAGAAGGTCAGCCTCGTTGCCAAGCCACACCCAGTCATGGGCGTGGTTCATGTTACCTCCTGCCTCCAACACAGGGACCTGCTTGTGACGGTATCTGCAGATAAAGACAATAATAGGTCTTTATAACTGAAGTATAATTTGTTTAAGACTGTAAAGCTCGTTCACTTTTGTTCCTCTCCCAAGTGTGATCGAAACAAGGCATAATATCAATTAATTTCAAGGATAAACAGTTATTTCATTGAATAATTGTTCAAGACACACTAGAAAACAAACTTACAGTGGTGTAAATTTTATTTGGTAAAAGCTAAACAGCAATATACTGTATATCTGGACCCTGCACACTGCTGAATTTACTTAGAAATTTAGTTAAATAAAGTCCTCACATATCACTATATTGTACCTGAAAGCAAAGCTGACACAGTTGATGAGGAAGACCAGTATAGCCAGACAGAAAACGCCCAACAGGGCATACATCCCGATCTCCAGGTCGGTTAGTCCTCTGGTGGTCTGGGTCAGCTCACTTTCCCCAGTGCCTGGTACCTCCACTTGTGCAGGGTAGCTGCTGTAGTCTCCTGCTTGGTTCGGGCCACTGCCCCTGCTGCTGCTGCTGCCTCCACTGTTAGCTTTACCACCCGAAGTGCGGTGGGTAACTGTGCTCTTGGTTGTTGTGCTTACCTGATGTGTGAAATAGATAGAAAGTTAAAGATTTATTAACTAAAAAAGATGTCCATGGTAATACTTTTTATGTTGGACAGCCCATTGGGAGCTACAAAAGAATTAGGTCAAATTATTCAGTTATGGTGCACCAAATTACTGACTCGATAGAGACAGTGCATTGGAAAATCAATTTGTCCATCAATTCCTTGTTTCCTACCTTCCTCATGGCTCCTTCCTCTCTATCTACAGCTGCACTGTTGGACTTCCACTCTCCTCCATCCTTTGTTCGTAAGTCATTGGTGCTATTGTCCATTCCTCCTTCATAGTCTGGTCCACCTCTTCCCATCACACCCCTGTCATCACTCTTCGCTCCAAACTTCACCAGCACATTACCGATTCCAGATGCCAGAACACTCTTCCTTTTGGATTTCTGACAGGTCTCAGAGATGACCATCTCAACACGAACCAGAGCTCCCTGTCCGTCACTCTCTGCCACGACAATAGGCCAGTGTTGTTCCTGATGAGAATGAGGCATTAACATTTAAATCGAGTTAAAACAACAACAAAAAAACAGGAAACTTAGGCAAAATTCTGATTTTGTCACAACAGTAATTTCCTTCATATTTTTTTCCTGGTATCTCTTACAAAGCCTCACACCATAGGACTGACAAACAAAACTTCCAGGTTAAGTACCTGGTTGTTGATGGAGATAACGTTTTCATCCAATGACACAGCTGAGAGTAGAAAGTCCTTGGGATCGTACACATCAAGTGGAGTCACTGAACCGTCACTGTACTGTATCCATGCACTGATAGCAGCCTCCTGAAAGACAATCAAAAACAGAGCATGGCTACAATTCTTGCTTATATTCAACATAAATGTGTTTTGGACAGTGGTAGGGGACTCTGTTGGCCTTTTGTCCCTATGCTAGGGCTGCGGTCTAGAGTTTGGCATTCAATACTTTGTACATCCTATTGTACTTGATGGATTTATTTATCTTCTTCCTCATGTGGCTTTACACTCTGTTTTTTTTTACTGCAACGCTAGAGCTTTAGTTTTACTTTGTTGGCTTCTAAGCTTTTCCAGGTTACAGTGTTGAGTTGTGGACTTTTCTTTAGGGATCTGTTTCGCTGAGGAAGGACTCCTAGTTAGTCGCCACATTCTTGAAAGAATATTTACATACTTTAGGGAACAAGTACACAAGTAAAATGTACGATCAAAAATCAATGAGATAAAGTTATCCATTGGTGTTGGCAAATGGCAGAGTATGAAGGCAAAAATAAAAAATAAAAGGGCAACAGCACCCAAAAAGTCATGGTGGCCCATTGTTGAGTATGTTAGGAAGCTGTTTATATACTGTGTAGCATTCTCTCCACTGGAAAAGGACACCGACTGTGGTGCTGGCCTTGGTAGCTTGACAGTGTAATATGTTTTATGCATTAATCTGCAGCTTGTATGTTCAACACAATGGAAATAAATAGCTTGTTGTTACTCGTGGAGCAGGAGACAAAGAGAGACATTTACACTTCAATTCATTCATCCACTTAGTTGCACATGTTAACATTAATGTCTTAGTTGTAACTACCTTCTTTTGTCCACAGATCGCCTTTACTGACTTAACCTGTGTTCTTCTCCATTTTCTATCTCTTCTTTTGCGATGATTAGATATTCAAAAAGAAAAAAGAAAATCTTTTTTTTGCATCAGCTTTTCCACAAATAAAAACAGGGTTCACCAGTGAATGTTTTTTCTATTTGCTTATCTGTACACAACTCTGTATAACTAAACTAACATCTATTTATTTTCATATAAATTGTCCTTTTTTTTCTTGCCTCCTCTAACCCCTTCTTTCCCTCTGGTTGTCTGTTTTTTTTTTACTTGTTCTGATTTGATCATTTCTCCTCAGGTAATGGTAAATGGTGTGTATGAAAACAGATGGATAGAAAAAATTAATGTGTGAGTAAAATGCGAGATCAGATCTGTATTATTCCTGTAATGAACTTCTTCTCACCCAGTTTGCCCACGGATAGAAATTATAGCGGTGTGGTTTTGTTTGAATCAAAAAAAGGGAAAGACGGGATAGAGAAGGGAAACAGAGGGATGATACCATGATATGGTGGGTTGAATTAACCCTTGGTCATTTGATCACAGTCAAATATGGCTTGTAAAATCTTAGCCAAAAAATATTTGCATTGGTAATATATAATGTAAGTAATGGTGAGCTTTGATGTTTGGTGTAAGTGAGTATTTTTTTTCTATAAATATTGCTTTGTTATGGGGTTTTGTCAGTGAGTTTTTGAAGAAAATAGTATTAGAATTTGTTTAATATGAAAAATGTGGTTACCACTAGGATGTCTTGTGAGCATTGTCAAATAAAATAACAGAAACACTGGTTGTGGTTCTTACAGTCATGTGATTTTTTTTTTTTTTCTGAAGACCTTTAGGTGGTTTTTACTGTAACTAAGTAATGCTAAAGCCTCAAAGAGACTCATTCCTAATTAGATAGCGATAATGGGACAGATAGCAGTGATACAGTATGAGGCTCAAACCACTGACTTACTGTTGATCTCCTATAATTGCAACCTTTGGGGTATAACTGTAAAGATTGGAACCGATTACAGTAAATTTAGTCAATCAAACCTAAAGGCAGCAAAGTGTCTTCATAGATTTATCACACTTCTGCATGAGCAATTTACTTTGTACAACCCTGGGAGGAAATTCTAACTTCATGAGCTTTTTTACAAGTGCGTAGATGCGTGTGTGTGTGTGTGTGTGTGTGTGTGTGTGTGTGTGTGTGTGTGTGTGTGTGTGTGTGTGTGTGTGTGTGTGTATCTGTAGTACCTCCTACCTGTTTCGGTGTGTGTAGCAGGTCTGTAGCTGTAGTGGTTAGCTGTATAGCCTGATTGTTTCCAGGACTGGGTGTCATACTGAGGGACAGAGAAGCAACCAGCTGCACTCCCATATCTGCGATGGTGACCTACATGAACAGGAGATACTGTAGGTCACTCTTTCAAACAGCCCCAATTTCAGTGTCTGATAGACAAGAAAATGATTGTTCCTTTAGAACGGAACTGAAAGTAAATTACTTTAAAGGTTGAGGAGATTAATCACTTCTGGTACTGTGTTGAATTTTTTTGTGAACTGTGTGCAAAGTTCATGTGTCCAATGAAATTCAATGTAAAAAAAAAAAAAATTAAGATATGAAGCATTATAAGTATATGTTGAAAATGCTAGTTGCCAGTTGAAAATGCAACTTTATCAAACAAACAACCCTTCAATTGCTCTCATAAGCCATACTATGGCCTTACACAGTATTGGTCAGTCGTCTGAACATGTAAGCAGTGCAGGTTTCTTTTACTACCCCCCTAAAAGAAAGGCCAAACAGCCCAAAGCATGTCTAATATTAGGATCTGATTAAGATCTGTACCATGTGTTTTAAGAACAACAAGTTTACATATAAATTCCAATTTAAGGGACCTAAAACCTATATAATGACATATTTACCTTGTCATCCAACACTGTCACAGTCTTCTCTGCTAGGATAGAATCAGACAGCGGGGACAGAACCTATAATAAAAAGATCAGACAACAAATGAAAAGATTTAAAAGAACATTAAAATACAAGTGTTAGCTTCCTTACCTATCCATCCACCAATATAGTAACAAGTGCCTTCATATGGGCAAATCGAATGCAACCAAAATGTGAGTTCCTTAGGATTTCCTCCAAACATACGCTCTCTATGACAGCTACATGTTTCCTGTTCTAACATCCCCTGCCTTAGTTCTTTTCCAGGAAAGAAATACACGTTGACGATCTGTTTTCAGCTGCTGCAAAACTCAAAAAAAAGAAAGCGCATTAATAACAAGCTTGTTGTTTAACAGGACTGACAGCTTGTGTGTCAAAATGTTGCAGGATAATAATTCCTGGTAAAACATCGACTTTTTAGTTCCTGGAAATACGAAATCAGGAATGGGAATGGGAAACTTGTAAAGACTGGAGATACTTGCATGTAAGAGTTTATGTTTTTGTCTCAGTGATTTCTGCCTTTAGCTGACAGACATGTGTGTAACATTGACAGAGGAGCAGTGACAGTAAATGGTAAATTAGCTTGTATAGCGCTTTCTAGTATTCTGACTACTCAAAGCGCTTTTACACCGCAGGTCACACCTACCCATTCATACCCATTCACACACTGATGGCAGAGGTTGCAATGTAAAGTGTCCATCAGAAGTAACTAATCCCATTCATACACATTCATAAGCCGCCGTCAAAGCAGCAGGAACAACTTCGGGGTGAAGTGTCTTGCCCAAGGACACTTTGGACATGTAGCTGCAGGAGCTGCGTATTGAAGAGAGAGACGACCGACTCTACCAACTGAGCCACTGCTGGTCCTGAGAGCTGGTTAAAAGTTACAGTTACATATTCTACAGAAGTGTGACCAAAATGTGTCCAAAAGTGTGAGAAAAGATTGGCTTGAAAACACAGTGCCTTTTATTTCACATCGGACACATTGTGACACACGGCAACATTGTTCATATCTGTCTCCCAGCTGTGCTCCAGTGTGTCAGCATTCAACGAGGACAACTTAGCATAAAAAAGCACAAGGCCACAACTGAAGGAGTAAAGAGAGTGAAAGAAGAAAGAGAGTGAGTGAAAGTGAGAGCGAGTGAACAAGAGAAAAATAAATGAAGAGGGTGTCAAAGAGAGAGACAATGACAAATGGAGTAGGACAGAAAGTGAGAGGGGCAGAGAGACGGAGCGCCAAAGAGATTGAGGAACCGACAGAGAGAGGGGGGATACAGACAGACAGTGATAGAGATTAGGATCCCCGTTGTTGTAGTATACTACTTCGCCCGGCGACAGGAGGACAGGCAGATCTGATTGGTGTACAAAGAAAATCTCTCAGTGAACGTGTTGGGGCATCAAACTCAATCCCACCCTCGGCGAGGTAACAAAATGCAATGATTGACGGCTTTGGGATTGCTCTTCAAGACAGGCTGAGAATAAGAGGGCGAGAAAGAGAGAGTCTGGGAAAGGGAGGGTGAGGGAGACGGGGAGGGGGTGGCTCGGGGAGACGGAGCTTGGGGGGTAAAATTGAAATGTCAAACTATCAAATGACGGCTGTCGGCTCTGGCTTCTCAATGGGAATGCTGGGTAAATTCTCTCTCCTGGCTCCCCAAACAGAGCACAGCTGTCTCTGTATGCGTGCAACTAGGAGCGTGTGTGTCTGTGCATGCATGCAGCAGTCCCCAGTCGAATGGATGCAAACACACACTCAGCTGTTCCCTAAAATCCCCAAGATATCCTCCCACTGCTGCACTCCACTCGATGCCAAACCACTTTTAATGCACGCACGACACAATTTTCAGAGCAATCATGCAAAACCAAGAACCTAAAATGAAATTTTATCCTGATTCATAAAACATATTTAGTTATTTGTTACATGAAGATGGTGATTTTACATAATAGGAAAAAATTACATAAAATGTGTGTCATTTAACATATAAGGAGGTTTTGCCTCCGCTCTGTTTATAACAGTAAACCAGCAAAATTAGACATTAAGCTTCAGGACTGTCCTCCTCTGTCACTTTATTCACAATGGACCGGCTTATAGGAATTCAGCAAGAGCACAAGTGTGTTCACTGTGTGCCAAAGTAAGTATGTCTGTGTATAATTGCTGAACATCACACTGAGATGTCAGGGCCAAATCCGACAGTTAATTGTGGCTAACTGTGTAACAAGCCTGCAGACGAGGCTTATAGCGGCAGGAGAGGAAGAAAGAGAGGATAATGTTTACATCACTGGAGTGGTTTTCGATGTAATGTGAGTTGCCAAGTTACACTTGCTTCACATAATCATACATTTCTAACCTTCTTGCTCAAGATATGTTGTCTAGAAAGTTATAAGTACATTGTCAACGTACAGCACCTTTTCTGAATTCTTGAAATGTAATTCCAGCCCTCTTTCTGGGATGCTTTGTGTTTAGTAAATGTGTCCAACTTCCTCCTTGGATGGACTTGCTTCTAATACTACCTCACCTGTCTCTTTCCTTTTGGTGCTAACTTTTTCCATTTTTTTAACTTAACGTTTCAGTCGAATAAAAGTGACACTAAAGATATTTTTTTTTCCATTTCATTCACAATTTGAGGAGGAAGTCTTAAAGTAGCAGCCTGGATCACTAGTAGAAAGACAAGAGTCCAAGAGAGAGTACATACCTGTATAGTTGTGATCCCTAGGTCACGTCCGATCAAGATTCGACCGTCTATCAGTCGTGCAATACGAGGATCTTCCACCTGTGATACAGACACATCTGTAAGCATCCACTTCAGGTTTGTTCATATGTTCATAGCTGATCTTAAGACTCTGTGCATTTATCTTGTCTTTTTAAACTACCATTTAGTAAGTAAGTAAACTTTATTTACAAATAACTTTTCTTTTAGAAGTTAAACATTAGACATTAAAGACGTTTTAATCTATTCATCTGGCACTTGTGGGTGTGTATATTAAAAAAATGTTAAACTAAATCCTTTTCAGGTTGTGTGAGTAAGTGAGAATAGTTGTGTACATCTACCTTAAGTTGATCCAACACCAAATGAGTGATATCTGCTTGCCAGTCTGCTCCTAACATGTAGACCATCTCTCCTCCTGGGTCAGAGGGCTCTGCGACAAAATGAGTGAGGACTCGCACCAAGGCATACTGGTACTGAGAGATCAAAACAACGGTTATGTTAGACTCTAATACTTAACCACACGATGGGCTCTTATGTCTGTGTGTTAGCTTGTGAGTTACATAACATACAGTTAGTCACACTGCATTCTGAAGTAGGACAGGTCGATACTCTTTTTAAGGCATGTTGACATTCAAGAAAAGTTTTAAAGATACTAATTTTTAGAATGATATGAAAATCCAGTTTCATAATACCTGTAGGGTGCAACCTTTTCCCTTCCTCTCATCGTCTTCATCATCTTCACTGTCTCTCGTAGGTCTAAATGAAAGGAGATACATGACAGTGAGAGAGAGAGTGAGAGAGAATAAAGGGTCAGATTATCTGGTAATTAAATGCCATTTTTAGATTCTACAAAGAGCTGAAGGTGATCTACTGTATAATCTCTGCTCAAGGTTATATTCCAAATCAAAGAAAAGATACTTCATCTTTTAATCCAGTTATAAAACTTCAAAAAATAAAACTTCAGTCATACAACATGAATGTCTTGGAATGCCTGGTTGAACAAATGAACTCAAAAGCAACTTAGATTGCTCTCCTTTTTTGTGTTACTGCTGTCTGCAGATGAGTGTGCCTGTTGCACTTCAGCTAGACTGTTGGAACTTTTTCTGGAACAGTTCCTCCAGTGAAGGGAACTGCAACTCTAACGAACACAATCAAAAAAGCAGAAACATGGCATAAAAAAGGCCAAATGAAACTAGACGATCTTTATGAAAACAGGGATGTGTATTATGCTGCAGTTTAATAATAATAATGATTCTATTTTTATGATTTAATTTCTTTTTTTTTTCTTTGCATAAAACAAGAAAGACATTACGGAAGAGAAAAGCATCTTATAACTTAGATATCATCATAATTTGAGCAGCAAAAATGTATTTTAAACTTTTAGCTATCATAAATTTGACATGCCAAATGGAGTCCCACAGGAGTCGATCTTTGGAACACTCTTGCTTGATCTTGAAATGCGTTGGATCTGCTCAATTAATAACAATAACTCTGTTAGAATCACTATGCAGATGACACACAGCTATTTATGTCTTGGTGTTTTTATATCAAAGCAATTGACTCCATGTTATTGTTAAGTCTGTAAATCTGATTACATCAGTTTGCAAGGAAACTGACATCATTCTTGTTTTTATTCCAGGCATTAAGATTTTAGTTTTAGTCTTTGAATCAGCCTGGGTGTATATTCATTTTATATTTTCTCAGAGCTCTGTAGAGCTGCACTCTATTTAATCTAATTTTGTCATAGTTGCAGGAGAGCCTTTTTAAAATCCCTAAATGTCCTCTGCATGTGCACTTTTATCACTTCTTTTGAATGATTACTGTTTTTGAAAGCTGCTTGCAAAACTGAATACTTCACCTTGTCATCTTAAAAAAAAGCAAAGCAGCCGTTTTACAAAAAAATCCCCAAAAATTCTACCAAAATCAATCTTTGCCATTAATCATTTTTAGTCTTTAAAAATGACAATTTTCTATAAAAATGAAATTTTAAAAAAAAGAAAAAAAAAAGAAGACATTTTTAGAACAATAAAAATATGTATGGCAAGTTAATACATGGTGGGTGTAATTCCACAGGCAAGGAGGACTTATGATCAACCTAAAATAAAGAAATA